GCTGGATTTTGTTAAATGGTTTTTCTGAAAAAATTTCTAGATCATGTGGTTCTTGTTATTTGCTTTGTTAAATTTGGTGAATTGTTTATTTTAATGTTGAACCATCCTTGCATAACTGTTCCGAATCCCACTTGGTCATGATTATTTTTTTTCCCCTTTTTATGTGAAAAACAAGTATGGGGATACAAGAGGGTGAGGGTTGGGAGCAGAAGAGTGAGGATGGGTGCGGATAAAATCACAGAGCTGCACAACTTGGTGGATGGGGGAGTGGATGAAGGAAATGAGAAAAATCCAGTGAGGACCAGAAGAGACAGGATGAATATAGTCCAATGGTCACTATTTTTTTTTAACAAAGAAATTGTCTTACTTGTGAGATTCTCATTTGGGAATGAGGCACAGATTTTCTGGCTTCTTCATGCTGAAGAGGGGCATTGATGTGAAGGGGGTAGGGGATCCCACTTTAACACCTTACTGGTGGTCCTGCGTTGATGCTGCATGTCTTCTTCTTCAGTTAGAAGATATTTTCCTGACATTTACTGCCCTCTGGACTGCAAAGTGTTTGCCAAGGTGGGTCTAGTGGGGATGGCTGGCTGTACGCTGAGGTTCCATCCTCTTTCGCTTCCTTAGCTGGTAGTTATATTTCCCTTTTGTCTCTGGAACTGGGTTCAGGGTTCAGGTCTGAAGCAAAAGTCAGTGTTAAGGTTACCTATAGGAAAGGGAGAAAACAAACTTGTGAGTTACAAAGAGGGCTTTGGAGGTGTTACTTACAGATGGAGGGGGGAGAGGGAGGAAAGTGGTAATGGCTTAGGTAAAATTCTTCATATATCCTAGGCAGTTCCTCCCAGCGACCTGAAGGCTCTCCCCGGGGAGGGGGCCCCTTTCTTCTGGTCCATGGAGTTATACAAATGTCCACCAGATGGTAGCATGCACTAAAAGTGTGAACACACTAACCATAAAACCCAATATTCTGAGTGGGTTCTAATAGTGACCTTCCATTAATTTCTGAGGCTGTCAATCTTTAGGAAAGGAGATGGCCCACTTTTATTCCGCTTAGACACTAACTCATGGATTCAAACTGTCAATCCTAACGTTAGTAGCCCTGTGTATTATTACACGATGGCCACCTGGGCTCCTTGGGATAGCATTCATTAATTCTTGGTGCTTTCAAATCACTTTCGACTCATAGTAACCTTCAGGTTTCTGAGTCTGTAAATCCCAAGTGGAGGGCACTGTCCAGTTTCTCCCGCGCTAAGCTGATGGTTAATTTGAACTGCCAGAGAAGAGCAGTGTTTGAGTTAGGAGTGCAACTCTCTATCGAGAGGTGGAAAAAGTAGGTGGGCACTACGTGTGTCGAGGGTGATGGAAGGGTTAAGTGGCCAAGTGATGAGAAATGTATATGTATGGGATTCAGGTCAGGATGTGAGAAAGGCCAGACAATTAGGAAGACCCTGGCCAGAGAACCAAATATACCAAAAAGTAGGAAGACAAAGTTCATCGCTGCATTCCCCAATATGAACTACAACTCCCAGGAGGCAGCGCGATCACATTCCCGGCTTGGAACTCTTGTGAGGCTGCGCAGTCGAAACAGGAGGCGGGGCCACTAACATACCGCGACACTTGGAAGCTACAGTCAGACGCACCCAACGAGGGTGAGAGTATTTGGTGGGGTTTGGGGAAGCTAGGGTAATGTGTATGTGATTTGTGGAGCTTGTGGAACGAACTACTACGCGCTCTCTCTGTGTTTATTTATTCGCAGGTGTGTACTTGTGTGTTTATTCTAAGGTGTGTGTTTTTAAAGGTGTGTGTGTGTGTGAGTGTGAATTCGCAGGGAGTTGAACTGGAAAACTAGAGTGAACTAGTTGGAAGCCCTGCTTCTAACTTTGGAGAGCCCAAGAAAGACACCAAGCACGTGGTCTTGCAATGACCCACAACCTCTTCGTGACTGCTTCTTCCTGGACATTGATTTGTAGAGTAGGACCTTGTGTTGCTTTGCTAAGCAAAATGCTGGTGATTCAAATCCAGGGAGAAGCTAGGGAGTCTCATAAATGTTGTTATGTGACATCAAGTCGCCTGTGACTCATTGCGACAGCACCAGCTCTGAAGCCTGCCCTGTCCTGAGCCAGTGTCACTGACTCCAATACACCTACTCCCATTGCCCTAGTTACTGTATTAATCCATCTCTTCCGGGGTCTTCCTCTCCTGCACTGTCCCTCCACCATTCTGAGCATGAAGTCCTTCTAGGATAGGTCCCTCCTGGCTGTGTGCCCAAAGTATGTGAGACGGAGCTTCTAAATCCTAGCCTCCAAGGAGAAACTTGAATTCACTCTTTCCAAGACAGACCTTTGTTTTCTTGGCAGTCCACGGTATGTTCAAGACTCTTCTCCAGGATCACAACTCAAAGGCATCAATTCTTTTATCATCTTAGTCATGTTTCAGCTCTCTGATGCTTAGCAATTAATTATGAAGACCGTATACTGGATCAGGTGCAAATTAGTCTCTAGGTGGGATAGCCTCAAGGTCAGATTTTTATTCCTGTGGATTTGATTTGACCTACTTTAGCTTTGATTTGAGCTTGCATATGAGTAGTTACAGGCTCAGAAACTGATGGAGGATCACTCTGAGTCAGAATTGACTCAATGGCAGTGGATTTGGTCCCTTTAGCTATGCAGAGCACCCAGCCCCACCTTGTTACCTAGGGCCTTCCGTAACAAACATCTCTGGATACTAGTTGAAATGGTGCAGCTAATAGAAGTGGCTCTGCATATGCTCACCACTTTATGCCAGGAGATTTGGAGGAAAGCTACATGGCTGACTGACTACAAGAGATCCTATTTGTCCTCTTTCCCAAGAAAAATGATCCAAAGAACGTGGAAGTTATGTAACAATATAAGTAATGCCACATGCAAGCAAAATACTACTGAAGATCATTGAAAAATCACTAGAACATACTCAGGTTTCATTCTGGAGCATTCTAGTCTTTGGTCTCTTACTAAAGATTTTCCAGGATTGGAGCCATTATGAGTTAAATGGTACAAAAATTGCTAGAACAGTATCTAGATAGAGAACTGCCAGAAGTTCAAGCAGGATTTAGAAGAGCCCTTGGCTTCAGAGTTATCATTGCTGATGTCAGATAGATCCTGGCTAAAAGTAAAGAATACCAGAAGAATGTCTGTTTGTGCTTTATTGACTATGCAAAGACATTTGACTGGACCATACAAAGTTGTGGCTAACATTGAGAGGAATGGGAATCACAGAACACTTGATTGTACTAATGCAAAACTTAGAACTAGACCAGGAGGCTGTTGTATGAATGGAGCAAGGGAACACTACGGGCTTTAAAATCATGAAAAATGTGAGTCAGGATTGTATCCTTTCTCCATACCTATTTAGTCTGTATGCTGAGCAGATAATTTGAGAAGCCAAACTCTGTGAGGAAGAATGGAGCATCAGGATCAGAGGAAGATTCATCAGTAATCTGCATTATGCAGATGATACAACCTTGCTTGCTACAAATGAGGAGGACTTGAGGTCCTTGCTACAGAAGATCAAGGACTCCAGTCTTCGATATGGATTATATCTCAACATCAAGAAAACAAAAATCTTCAACACCAGACAAAGAGTCATGGGTGGAGAAAGGATTGAAGCTTCCAACTATTTAATCTTCCTTGAATCAACAATCTGTAACACCCTTGGTACCAGAAAGTCAAGAAATGAGGAAATGTATTGCATTGGGCAAGTCCACTGTCAGGACCTTGCCAGAGCACTAAAAAGCAGTAATGTCAATTTGATGACTAAGGTGTGTCTTATTTAGTCCATGGTCTTCTCAAACATTTGCTCTGCATTGGAGAGCTGGACAAAAAGGATGACAGAATTGATGCCTTTTGAGTTGTGCTGGAGAAGAGTACTGAGTATCCCCATGGACTGCCAAGAAAACAAATAGATGTTTTGGGAAAAGTGCAGTCCAAGTGCTCCTTGGAGGCTTTGTCTTTCATGCTTTGGGCATGTAGCTAGTTGAGGCTACTCATTGGAGAGGGACATCATGCTTGGAAAAGTGGCGTGTCACCAAAGAAGTGGAAGACCCCAATGTGATGACTTCAACTGTGGGCTTGAGTGTTTCGGAGATGGTGAGGATGGCACAGGGTAAGGCAGGGTACAGACTGACTTTTCATAGTGTTGCTATGAATTGTACTCAATTTGACAACCCTTGACACCACCACCACCTCAATGCTTTTTGTTCAGTCAATTGAATCCACTGCAGTGATCTCTGGCCTATCCCCAACCTTTCTCCCATCAGGGCCTCTCCGTGATGACAGTACCAGCACCATTTTTCTAAAATATAAACTCCTTACTCTGGCCCTTGACATGCTTCACATTTGGTCTTGACTTGATTTTCTGACCTTGGCACCTGCCACTTTTCACTCCCTACCTCACTGTTGAGCCTCACTACTAACCTGTACCCCTCCCACTGAGCCCGTCAGCCTTTGATAGTTGCTCCTTTCTATTTGTCCTTCAGGCTTAACTTGATTGTCATGTGTGTGTGTGTGTGTGTGTGAGAGAGAGAGAGAGAGAGATAGTCTGGGCAGCCATCTAGCCCTTCCTTGTAGCAGTTGTCACATTATAGCATCCATGCAGGGAACTAGGGATGTCTAATGCTCTTAATCAGACTTGCTTCTAGAAGCTGAGACTGCTGATCCTCTTAGCCAGCTTCATGCTGCTGAGTTAACTCTGACAGCAACCCCGTGTGTATCCAAGCAGAACTGTGCTCCATAAGGTTTTCAGTGACTAATTTGTCAGAAGTAGACTGCAAGGACGTTGGTCTGAGGTGCCTCTGGGTGAACTCTAACCTCCAACCTTTGATTAGCAACCTAGGACATTCATCAACATCCAGAGATTCCTCAGACATAATGATATTTGGTCTGGGGTATAACATGGTGCCAGACACATTTTTGTTTGTTTGTTTGTAAATACATGAGTGAAGAGGGTATTGCTCTGCTTTTAGGTCCTAACCCTGACAGAACCTGATGGAGGCCAGGAATAGTGAGCTCCCAAGCCTCAAAGCCCCTGAACTCCAGGTGGAACCCAGCACCTCCTGTCAAGCTGCTGCATCGCTGGTGGAGAGAAAATTCCATGTTCTTGTGGGCGTCACTGGAAGTGTTGCTGCCCTAAAGTTGCCTCTTCTGGTGTCAGGCCTTTTGGACATTCCTGGGGTGAGTACCCTCAGAAGGTAAGACTGGGGACCACCAGAATTAGTCCCTTGGACCAGCCCACTTCTGTTCATTGGATGTATTTTTCTTATTTAATCACGACGTTTGTGGAGGTCCTATTTGTGTGTTGGTACTGCACGGTTCAAAATCAGGAAAGGTATACGCCAAGGATGCATCCTATCTTTATACCTTTTCAGTCCATGTAGGGAACAGATCATCTGAGAGGTTGGGCTCTTATGAGGAGGAATGTAGCATCAGGATTGGAGGAAGACTTATCAAAAGTCTACATTATGCAGATGATACAACCCTGCTTGCTAAAACGGAGGAGGACCTGAAGCCCTTGCTGCAGAAGGTCAAGGACTGCAGCCTTCAATATGGATTGAAGTTCAACATCAAGAAAACAGAGATTCTCACCACTTGGCCAATTGGCAGCATCATGATAGACGGTGAAGAGATTGAGATTGTTAACAGCTTCAGCTTGCTTGGCTCCACAATCAACACTCTTGGTACCAGCAGCCAGGAAATCAAAACACAAATTGCTTTGTGAAAATCTGCCGTCTGGAACCTCTCCAGAGTACTGAAGAGAATGATACCAGTCTAGAAATTAAGGTGTGCCTGATTTAGGCCATGGTCTTGCAGTTACTTGCCATTCATCAGAGAGCTGGACAATGACTAAGGATGATAGAAGAATCAATGCATTTGAGTTATAGTGCTGGAGAAGAGTATTGAATATATCATGGACTGCTACGAGAACAAACAAGTTTGTCCTAGAGAGGGTGAAACCAGGCTGTTCCTTGTAGGCAAGAATTCTGATGCTTCTTCTGACAGACTTTGGACATGTTGCAAGGAGAGACCAGTCCTTGAAGAGAGACATCATACTTTGAAGGATAGAGGGACAGTGCAAGAGAAGACGACCCTGGATGAGACAGATTAACTCTGGATGAGACAGATTAACTCAGTGACTAGAGTAATAGGGGTAGGTGTGTCAGAGACAATGAGATTGGCTCAAAAAAGAGCAGTGCTTGGAGTTGTTGTCCATAGACTCACTATGAGTCACAAGTGACTCGATGGCACAGAACAAAATGTGGAGGATACAGGGAACAGACCAGTGTCATAGTATATAGCCAGCATGTGGCTTAGACAGCATGACAGTGTGAGGGAGATCAGCAAGGATGGGTTGGGGAAGGGAAAATTTTGATTTCCATACACTGACTCTGAGATTCCCTTGGATCCTGGTGTGAGGATGAATGCAGCCAGTTCTCAGCTCCACCTTGCTGCCTTGTGCTCCCCTCCCTGCTTTCACTCCAGCCTGAGCCCTGTAGCTCTGTTCTCTACCTTGTTAGACACCATTGCCAAACATCAGTCAGGTGCCTGGAAACCTCACTGGCTTCCTATTGCTTTTGACTCTGCTCTTTCAGATATCCTGGGCCATCACAGTGTGCTTGGGGAAGTGGGTGGGTAACTCCATCTCCCTTGGCCAGACCACCTCCAACTTTTATCACTGTTATATATGGGAGTTTGGGGGCAGGATCTTTTGAGGAAAAAGATTCATGGCTCTAACTAATGTGAAAACCAACAGGTAGTGGCCCTGCTCACTAGTGTGGTATCAAGGACCTTAGTCTGGTTCGTCTCTGCCGCCCTCATGCTCAACCCACAGCCTTTGCTTAGGTTGCGTCCCTGCCACACTGCACTGCTCTTTCTGAATACTGTATAAACCCATCACCCAAAACCATCCCCTGTCCTATCCCCAGCCTTTGTGATTTCGTTCCCCTTCTTTTAAATTCCTCATTTGATACGAACCACAACTTACCATAGATTGTTTATGTTATCAGGGAGCCCTGCTGGCCTAGTAGTAAAGAGTTGTGCTACCAACTCAAAGGTACATGTTTCAAATCCACAAGATGGACAATCTCCTCTCGTGCAGTTTATTGCCACTGAATACTCTATGGAGGGTCAACCATCAGTTAGTTCTGACTCTACAGTACACATAACCACTACCACTTGCTTCATTAAACACTAATTTTTGTGGGTCATTGAGTCTTGGGACCCAGACCAAAACCCACACCCACCGATGTCAAGTCCATTCCGAGTCAGAAACCTTAAAAGGCAGAGTAGAATGGTCCCACAGGGTTTTCTAGGCTGTAACTTTATGGAAACAGATTGCTAAGTCTTTTACACTTCCAACCTTTTGCCTAGAAGCAGAATGCTTTAACTACTATACCACGAGGACTTCTTTGTTTGGGTCCAGACAGTGATTTCCCCTTACTTCTATGCTGGGGTTTCTTTTGGGTAGAGCTGAGTTGATTGATGTCTAGTTGGGACCCAACAAAAGGTGGCACAGACGCTATGACTTGTCCAGCAGGGGGCGGTGCCCGCTCACAGATAGCCAAGTTGAGGCTACAGGCAAAGGCTAGGTAAGCAAAGGCTTGCTTCACTTTTTTTCACAGACTTCTATCCAAAAAGTCACACAGCCATCCAGTCCCTAGGCGAGGATGCTAACCAAACCCAAGGGGAAAGGGAGGAAAATCTCTTTGCCATACTGAGGGAGAGACTGTGCTGCTGGGACATTGCCTTTTAGGGCTTGCCTCCTCACGCGTCCAGAACTGTTGATAGGATGTGGCTAGACAGAACTGTGAGGGCAGGAGGCCTGGAGGGGGTTGCTGCTGCCAAGGCCTCTGCCCCCTGGGGAAGGAGGGAGCCCTGTAGTTCCCTTTTCCCATAGCCCCAGTGAGTTTCCGGACCAGGGGTGGGTGGGGGCAGGGAGTCCTATCCCAGGAAACAGATGGGCAGCCTCAGAGCGGAGGGAAATGGCAACTCCTCCGCTTCCTCCCATCCCACGCGCAGCCAGCGTCTGGGGGTGTGAGAAAAGAGTTACTTGGAGCAGGGAGGTTCCCCAGCCCACCCAAGGCCTTTAGTGTGAGGCCACTGAGGGGACAGTCCATGTCTGGAATAGGCGTGGCTCTCCCTTTTCTAACTGAAGTTAAAGTTGAAAGCCAGTTCAGAACTGGCTTTGGGCTTTGACAAGCACTGTGGCAATTGGACAATTAAAACAGACATGGGGTGGGGAAGAAGAACGAACTGGGGAGGAGGGTAGAGAAAACAGTGCAGCAATGAATGAATGAAAACCCAAAATCTCTGTAAATGTTCATTAAAACTAATGAAATTTAATAATAATAAAAAAAAAAAAGTTGAAAGCCAGTCAGCCAGAGGGTATCAAGTGGGAACGAGGACCCCACTGCCTTAGCCTCTTGGAGTTGGCCTTAATAATTTAAAAAAATTTTTTTAAATTAATTTTAATGGAAGTTTACAGAGACTTTTGATTTCCATTCATTCGTTTCTTGCACTTTTCTCCCTGCCCACTCGTTCCCCCTAATTCGCTCTTCTCTTTGAAAAGTAAAAGAAAAATTCTTTCATTGTTATACAACCCCTCCCCGCAAGTCTACTCCACTATGCAGCCTTCGTTCTGGACTCCTGTCATGACAATAATACCTAATCATATATCTCTTTTAAACAGTTCTGTCCCTCATCTGTTTCAATGCAGTATGTTGTTGTTGTTAGGTGCCGTCGAGGAGTAGTAGTAGAGGACTCATAGTGACCCTATGAACGAAAGGCCTGAGCACTGTTCATACATAGAGTTTCTGGAGGCAAGTCATTTCGGAAGTGGACGCCACTCCTGCTTCCAGGCTTGTTTTAGTCGGGAAGCTCCAGCAAACACTGTCCACCATGGGTAACTATTACCATGTTTGGCACAATGTGGCATGCATTATTTATTCCCTCTTTCTCAGTCTCCCCTAAACCCCAATGTCAGTCCCATTTTAAAACAGTGGCACTATGTAATATTTGTCCTTTTGTGACTCAGATATTTTGCTCAGCATAATGTCCTCCAGCAAAATATCCCATTTTGTATAATATTTCATGAGTTCCTTGTTTTTCAGTGCAGCGTAGTATTCCATTGTGTGAATATACCACAGCTTCTCTATCCATTCGTTTGTTGATGGGCACTTGGGCTGTTTCCAGCTCTTTGCTATTGTGAACAAAGCCACAATAAACATGGGTGTGCATATATCTGCTTGGGTGGTGGTTATGGTTTCTTTAGAGTATATTCCCAGTCATGGAATTGCTGGGTCAAATGGTATTTTTTTTTAAAATGGTATTTTTTTATTTGCAACTTTTTGAGAAAGTGCCATACAGCCTTCCATAGTGGTTGCACACTCCCACCGGCAGTGAATAAGGATTCCAGTTTCTCCACAACCTTGCCAGCATTTGATGTTTGCTGTTTTGTTAAATTTTGCTATTCTTACTGGGGTGAGAATCTCATAGTTGTTTTCTGCCTTGCTCATTTTTAAATGAGGATGATTACTGCTGCCCTTCCCCCTCCTTGGTCAGGCTCCATGAGATGTTGGCTGGGGACAGAGGACACAGATGCAATGTTTGTCATGTGCCAACAACTAGGAACAGTACTTGACACAAGGAAGCAGTTAGCAGTGTTTACTTCCTGCCCCTCTCCCCTCCTTCCCTCCTTTCCCCTTGTCATATTGTCTGGTCCTTCCTCATTGGAGGAAGACTGTGGCAGTTGCCCCTCTCCCACCACCACCCAGGCTTGATCACTTCCTGAGAAACCTGATAACATCTAAGCTGGTCATATCAAAGACCAGACCAGACAATGGATCCTGATAAGGGTCTGAGCCTCATCAAAATAGCCCAAACCTAACTTAATTAACACCCCAAATTCTGAGAAATTCCATCTTAGTCCTCCCCAGGACCTCTATAAGAAGGACTCCCCCCAAACTGCCCACGACCCCTATAAGATGGACCTCCCCCCAAACTGCCCATGTACCATTTCAACCCTCCCCGTGCACGCTGTGCCGCTGGGTCACTTGGCGTCCCTCTCAGACTGCACAATAAAGGTCTGTTTGTTTCTTAGGACCGGTTTCTTTTTTTATTTCTCTCCCTCTCCCTCGCACTCTTTTTTTTAATCTAACACTCATGGTGTGGGATGTTGG